AACCGGGGTTAACTTAGGTTTGGACCTTTTATAAAAAAACCTGGTTCTTAAGTTTTTTAATGAAACAAGGTTTTAGATAATGTTTGTATTTCATTTCATTATGATAGGTTACTGTGTATTTATGAATTTTATGTCATTGCTTGTTAATTCGTTGAGATTTTTTTTTTTTATCAATAGGATGTCCAAGTTCTCTTTGAATATTGTGTACTTAAATTATCAGAATCTGTACTTGTTGAGACTTTGAATTGTTATGATTTAAAATCTTAAAAACATTATAAATAAAAAAAATATTCATAGTTTAAAAAAGTATAACAGTATATGTATGATTTTATTATATAGTTAATTATTAATTACTATATGACTATATGTGTATTACCATTATATTCATTTCGGTTGAATTATTTCTTCAGTGGAATGTTCTTAGAATATTGAAAAATCTGCAAATCCAATGAGTTACAGACTCGAGTTAATAGCACTGATATCAACCATCTTTTTATCATTCACAAAAGTCAACCACCCCTTCTATCATTCATATTAACATGGAAAATAATAAAGATAAATATTATTATAAAAAAAATTAGCAAAAAAGTGTAGCGATTATAATACGAAGTGATGAGGCATGACTATTTAATGATCGATCACTTATCGGCCTGACCATACTCGAAAAAAATTTTTTATGATCGGTCACGATCAAACAAATCAAATGATCGGTCATTCCCTAATTGATCATAATCTCTAATAAAAGTTAACTATCTTTCTTTCCACCATTCACAGGATTCAACACATTGGAAGACATTAAATTGTTAATATAAGTTTGTAGGATTTGGTTTCCTGATTGCATTTGATCATGATCATCTTTTACTGATTCCATTTTTTGAATTAAAGCTAAAATCCGTGTTAAGAAACAATATTTTAGATAAAAGATTTAATTTTTAAAGCTCTTTTTTTTAAAAAAGTAAATAAATAAACAAATACAGTCTACTCTGTCAAAACTGATTCAATTTTAAGGGATATCAGGTTTAAGAGGTTTAATTACTATATCGAAAATAAATATGGTGGAGTTTGGTTTTGACAGAGTGACTGTAAATAAAAATACAAACCTTTTAAACCCCCTTGGAGTTCAACAATTTCTCTAATAAAACGTAAGAAAATGTAAGAAATAATGTAGGAATGAATTTTCAGACTTTTAAATATAGTAATCTTAAAAAGGCTTCTAACAGCAATAATACTTTATTAAATCCGATCTAGCCTCAGGATCTACCTCTTCTTCACTCGCCTCATCACTTTTAATCTTTGATAAAAAGTCCATAACAGAAATGGTAGACCCATTTACCTCTGCTGAATTATGTTCTATTGAGGTGTCTAGTGTTGAAATTGACATGATTGATTTAATAAGCGAGTTAAAAACAGATGTACGTACATGAATTAGACTTTTACGTTTATGCAAATTTGGAAATTGGTAATTAACAGCGTTAACGTTAGGTTTAACGTTACATTCAGGTCACATGATCATACCGATTATCGATTATATAAAATATATCGATATACCAGCATTTACTGTAAATAATTAAATTCAAAAAGCAATGTCTTTCTTGCGTTCAATTCTTTTGAATAGGTCATCATTTCATCTTCCATCATCCGAAATTTCGATAAGCAAGATAGCGTTTGCTACATTAATATTTCGCCAATACTCTCAAAATAAGCAAAAATCTATACCACCACCTAGAGGTTGGTTTCTTAGAATTCATTATACAAAATTTAAAATTTCACCTTTAAATTCTTTTCATTCCTTCCGCAAAGGTTCTATTACCACACACAAAGAATTTCTAGAAAAAATCGGTCGTGATTGTGGTTCTTTAGCTGATAAATTTCGGGTAAGCCTTTTACCCTTTCAAAGTTCCTTTCATATTAACATATCCTCTAAAAATTTTATCTGAAATAGGATTGGGACCATCTATTCACCGCTTCGTCGGGAGAAATGAAAGATGTTTTGGAATTACCTACTAGACAACGACGGTATCTTTTTCATTTTGTTTAAAAACCCTTATTTTTCTATTTACTAATGTTAATATAAATCTTGATAAATCAGATGGATTCTTGCGTGGACACAACATTATAGAGACGGTTTAGATCCTTATAATATTCCAATTCGTACAAAAAAGAAACAAAAAAAGAAAT